GTGATTTTAAAATGAAGTACATAAGGAATGATATATTGTTTAACAATTTAAAAGTGTATTCCATCTTAAGGAAACATTTGTCAAGCTAAATGAATCCTCTATCCTGGAAATAACAAAGGAGGCAAGGAAAGACAGATTCACATTCCTTCCATCACCCCCCACCCCAAACCTGGCAGCCCAGCACAGAGAGAGACACTGTCTCTGTGGGAGAAGAAAAGTGACCACCTGACTTCACCAGGGACCCCCAGCACCATGCCAATTCCTGCGGCCCTAGGTGGCTCCCAGGGTACCAAGCTCCCAGCGGCTTCCTGTGAACCCAGGCTCCCTGCTCACCCCAGTGTCAGCTGGCTCCTGCTGACCCAGCAGCTCCTGCGGCCTCTAGCTCTCAATCAGCCCCAGGTCCAGGCCAACTATTATGGACTGACCCAGGCCCTGGCCCATCCCAGCACCAATCAGCCCCCATAGACTCACACTCTAAAACAGCTCTCACAGACTTAGATTCCTGGCTTACTCCAACACTGGACTGGCCCCTGCAGACCCATCTCCATATCTGCCCCTGAAGCCCCAGTTTATAGGCCATCCCCATGTCCCCAGCCTCTGGACCGAGCCCTCTGAACCCAGACTTGGGGCCCACCTCAGTGGTCCTTAGAGCCTGGTTGGCCCCTGTGGACCCAGGATCCAGGCCTACCCACACAGACCCGGTCTCAGGCCTATAACTGCAGGCTCAAACCCCAAGCCTGGCCCATTGTACTCAAGCATCAGGCCTATCCACCTATTGCCCCAGACACCACCAGATGACCCATCTAGAATCTCTAGACCAGTTTGCCTGCTGAAGCCAGTCTGTAAAGACTAGAAGAAGTGCCTACTTCCTCAGATGGGCAGACACCAATCCATGACCACAGGGATCATAAAAAATCAAGGAAACATGACAGCAGCAAAAAAAAAAAAAACAAAAACAAAAAACTAATAAAGATTTTGAATAGCTAAAGCAATCCTGAGAAAGAAGGTCAAGCTAAAGGCATCACCATTCCTGATTTCAAACTTTATTACAAAGCTATCATAATCCAAATGGTATGGTACTAACATAAAAACAGACATATACATCAATGGAACAGAATTGAGAGCCCAGAAATAAGCCCATACTTGCATGGTCAACTAATATTTGACAAGGGATACTCAGTGGGGAAAAGACAGTCTCCAATAAATGGTGCTGGGAAAACCAGGTATTCACAAACAGAAGAATGAAATTGGACCCCTATCTCACACCACTCACAAAAAATTAACCTGAAATCGATTAAAGGCTTAAAGGTAAGACCCAAAACTACTAGAAGACAACATAGGAAAATGGCTCCTTGACATTGGTCTTGGCAATGATTTTTTGGATATGACATCAACAAGCAACAAAAAGCAAAAATAAACAAGCGGGATGATGTCAAACTAAATAGCTTCTGCACAGCAAAAGAAACCATCAGCAAAATGAGAAGGCAGCCTACAGAACGGGAGAAAATATTTGCAAACCATGTATCTGTAAGGGGTTAATAGCCAAAATATATAAGAAAATATATATATAAATATATAAAGAAATACAACCCAAGAGCAAAAAAAAAAAAAAAAAAAAAATCCGATGAAAAAACAATAGGCAAAGGACTTGATTACACATTTTCCCAAAGAAGCCATACAAACGGCCAACAGCTACATGAAAGCGAAAAGCTAAGAATGCAATTAAAAACAAAGGCGTAAATACTGATATACATTTGGAAATGCAACTTTAATTGGAAACCTGTCAGGAACTGAGGTAGTTTTCCCTGTGTTTCTGTTCCTTATACTACACACATGTCACTTTTCTCTACCTCCTCATAGCTACTTACTCTGAGTTTCTGCTTCCTCATAGCTCTGGTCTGCCAGGACCCCTTGTATCAGTCAGGGTGTAGATAGGAAGGAAATCAGCCCCTGATTCTCGTCAAAGGAGAGGTCAGGTTAAGGGAAACCCAGGAGGGCTGGAGAGGCACCCTGGGCTAGCAGCCTCGGAAGCCCCGTCACCCCTAAGCCTTCAGGTTGAGTCAGGGAGCAGTAGGGAATCTGCAGAGAGGGCTGGGCTGTAGGGGAGGCTGCCTGGAGGTGTTGAGAGCTTTGGAGAGGAATAAACCACTGCCAACCACAACCAGGTGGGAGGGAGCCAGAGCAAGAAAGCCCTCCCCACCCTCCCCTTCCACCAGAGGCGAAGGGGGCCCAGTCTCCGGAGAAAGTAGCCAGAAGATCTGGAGAAGCAAAAGCAGAGTATCCACCATACGTTTGTGGCCTTGAGACTTCTCTCTATATACCCTTTTGTTACATAGTGGCGCAGTATTTCCTAGTTCAGATTTCCAGCTGCACTAAGGGAGAGCATTTTGGCTCTGCCATCATTGGCCAGGCTACGCATTAGCTGCCCTTGTGAAGGCTGCCCGTCTAATCAGCTGTACAAGCACACCTCGGAGATATTGCAGGTTCCGTTCCAGACCACTGCAATAAAGCGAATGTCGCAATAGAGTGAGTCAATGACTTTTTTGGTTTCCCAGTGCATATAAAAGTTGTCCTTACACTAAACTGTAGTCTATTAAGTGTGCAACAGCATTATATCTTTAAAAAAAAACAAAACAAAACAATGTACATACCTTAATTTTAAAATACTTTATTGCTAAAAAATGCTAGCCATCATCTGAGTTTTCAGCAATTCGTAATCTTTTTGCTGGGGGAGGGTCTTGCCTCCATGTCGATGGCTGCTGACTGATCAGGGTGGTGGTTGCTGAAGGCTGGGGGCCAGGGTAATTTCTTTCTTTCTTTCTTTTTTTTTTTTTTCTCTCCTTGTCCTCCACCACCGCCATGCTGGTCCCTGTAGCAATTTCTTAAAATGAGACAAAGATGAAGTTTGCCACACGGATCAACTCTTCCTTTCACGAGCGATTTCTCTGTAGCAGGCGATGCTGTTTGGTAGCAGTTTACCCACAGTAGAACCTCTTTCAAAATTGGAGTCCATCCTCAAACCTGCCGCTGCTTTATCAACTAAGTTCATGTAATAGTCTGAATGCTTTATTGTCATTTCAACCATCTTCACGGCATCTTCACCGGGAGGAGATTCCATCTCAAGAAACCACTTTCTTTACTCATCCATAAGAAGCAACTCCTCATTCATTAATGTTTTAACATGAGATCGCAGCAATTCAAATATAATAATAATGAAGAAGTTTGACCTATTGGAAGAATTACCAAAATGTGACACAGAGACACAAAGTGAGCAAACGCTGTTGGGAAAAGGGTGCTGATAGACTTGTTGGACACAGGATAACCACAAGCCTTCAATTTGTAAACAAACAAAACGCAATCATCTGCAAAGCACAATAAAGAGAAGTGTCGCTAAACAAGGTATGCCTGTATTGAAAATGGGGAGGGGGCAGGTAACTGGAAATGTGCGACGAACATCCTCACCCTGGGTACCCAGAGCCGCTTCACCTGCGGGCTGGTCTAGAACAGATGCAAATGCGCCCATGTGTATAACATACAAAGGAAGCAATAACTATTGTAACATTGTGATTGGTTTCCATTGGGGCTCCAAGGATAACAGTTAACATTTATTGAATACTGTCTATGATCTGGGTGTGGTTAAATCACTCTGTGGGGATTCTCGCATTTAATCTGTGCAGCTCCTCTGTCATAGGCCTAATTATTACTCCTAGGCTACAGGGGAGGAGGTCCTATCAGCAGAGGCTAAGCAGCCTGCCAGAGGGTGCCCCGTGACAGATAAGTGGTGGATGCAGACTTTGCCCAGCCCAGGCAATCTGACTCCACACATGAGCTACTGGACACCGTTCTTACCACACCTATGAGACATGAAATAAAAATTAACATTATCTATTAAAAGAACTTGCCTTGGGCGCCTGGGTGGCTCAGTTGGTTAAGCGACTGCCTTCGGCTCAGGTCATGATCCTGGAGTCCCGGGATCGAGTCCCGCATCGGGCTCCCTGCTTGGCGGGGAGCCTGCTTCTCCCTCTGACCCTCCTCCCTCTCATGCTCTCTGTCTCTCATTCTCTCTGTCTCAAATAAATAAATAAAATCTTTAAAAAAAATAAAAAATAATAAAAAAAATAAAAGAACTTGCCTTTAGGGAGAGTTTCCTCCTTTCCATCAGCATTTCCAAAAGTAATCCTATGGCAACACTACCGTAACTGAAGACGTTACTATTAGGGAAAAGCGGGCGAAGGGCTTATGAGATCTCGCTGAATTTTTTTTCTTACAACTGCATGTGAATCTACACTTACCTCAGAATAAAGTTAAGGGGCACCTGGGTGGCTCAGTTGGTTAAGCATCTGCCTTCGGCTCAGGTCATGATCCCAGGGTCCTGGGATCCAGGCCCACACCAGGCTCCCTGCTCAGTGGGAAGCCTGCTTCTCCCTTTCCCTCTGCCTGTCGTTCCCCCTGCTTGTGCTCTGTCTGTCAAATAAATAAATAAAATCTTGAAAAAAATAAAGTTAAACAAATATTGTAGCAACAACATCAACTACCATGTATTCATTAACTTCACCTCAACACTGGGCATCTTCTCTGTGCCTGGCACCATTCTAAGTGCTGCGGATACAGCAGAGAACAGGACACACACACAAATCCCTGCCCTCATGACGCTGGCATTCTAAAGGAAGTTGGCTTGTCCAAAGCTTCATTTGGTCAGGTTCCTTACAATAAAATTTATTAAATGCATGTTCATGACATAAATATTGACTACAGAGTATTCACTTCCTCATCCCACACAAAGTAGGTCTGATTAGATTTCCCTGGGCTACCTGACAAGGCTCACAGTATTTGTGACTGCCCAGCCTTGTCCCGAATGGTAAATCAATGAGTCATTCTTTCTCTCCACTGCAGTGATTATAATACCTGTAAAATCTAAATACTGCTGTATGCAAATCGTGCTTGGAAAGTCTCACTCCCTTCTCTCCCCTGCTCCTCTCTGCTCTAGGCTACAGAGAGCATCCAGTTGTCATGCAGATGATGAGGCTGTGATTGATGAATTGCAAATCCTGGCTACTGTTCCCAAAGAAAGACGTTTCTCACTACCATTCCAATGCGCTGGAGATCCCAGACAGAAAATGGCAGCCACCAAAGCGCCGAGGGGAGTCCTTCCAGTCCTTTCTGTCCCGGCTCCTAGTTTTTTTCCATGATGGCCTGCAACAGTTCCAGCCCTGAGACCTACCAGTACTTGCTGCTGAACGGGAGCAATGTGTCGGACTCTGGGGTCACCACACCCCCCACCCCCCTCAGGATATCCTTGGCGATAATCATGATGCTGATGATCGTGGTGGGATTCCTTGGCAATGCCGTGGTCTGCATCATCGTATATCAGCGGCCAGCCATGCGCTCCGCCATCAACCTGTTGCTGGCCACGCTGGCCTTCTGCGACATCATGCTGTCCTTATGCTGCATGCCCTTCACCGCCGTCACCCTGATCACGGTCCACTGGCACTTCGGGGACTACTTCTGCCGCCTCTCGGCCACCCTGTACTGGTTTTTTGTCCTGGAGGGCGTGGCCATCCTGCTCATCATCAGCGTGGACCGCTTCCTCATCATCGTCCAACGGCAGGACAGGCTGAACCCGCGGCGGGCCAAGAGGATCATCGCCGTCTCCTGGGCGCTGTCGTTCTGCGCGTCCGCGCCCTCGCTCGCAGGCCGGACGTTCGTGGAGGTGCCGGCGCGCGCCCCCCAGTGCGTGCTGGGCTACACGGAGTTCCCGGCGGAGCGCGCCTACGTGGTAGCACTGGTGGTGGCCGTGTTCTTCGTGCCCTTCGGCGTCATGCTGTGCTCCTCCCTGTGCATCCTGCACACGGTCCGCAAGAACGCCATCCGCGTGCACAACCGGTCCGACAGCCTGGACCTCAGACAGCTCACCAGGGCCGGCCTGCGGCGGCTGCAGCGGCAACAGCAGGTCAGCCTGGACTTGAGCTTCAAGACCAAGGCCTGCACCACCATCCTGATCCTCTTCGTGGGCTTCTCGCTCTGCTGGCTGCCGCACTCCGTCTACAGCCTTCTGTCGGTGTTCAGCCGGGGCTTCTACTGCAGCTCCTCTTTCTACACCACCAGCTCCTGCGTCCTGTGGCTCAGCTACCTCAAGTCCGTCTTCAACCCCATCGTCTACTGCTGGAGAATCAAAAAATTCCGCGAGGCCTGCATTGAGTTGCTGCCCCAGACCGTCCAAATCCTCCCCAAAGTGCCTGAGCGGATCCGGAGGAGAATCCAGCCGAGCACGGTCTACGTGTGCAATGAAAACCAGTCCGCCGTTTAGGACACAGGCAGGGGGAGGACGGGGACTGGTTCCAGGGCAGAGTTCACGCGTCCTTCTGCTCCGCGTCCTGGCGCCTTTGCGGTTGGTAGTCAGCATTTTTGGCGGCCCTCCCTGTAAGCACAAAGGTACCATTTGTTACCGGATAGGTGGCGGCTCCCAGGTCTGCAAGACGAATTATTTTTGTTCCTTGCTGGAGAAGAGCCGTATTGGGGTCTGAAGGAAACTGGAAGGTCGTTGAGACAAAGCGGGAATGGGGTGGGCATATGGGGGCAGAAAGTTAGGGAGGGGGGCAGGGAGCAAGCACTTGAGTGTGGGGCCGGAGGAAGGCTCTGTCTAAAGAGCTCCCCTGTGCACCTGCTTCCGAGCAACCCTGTGGTGCCTGCTCTGAGATGGGAAACCCAGTAGGGATCATCTCACGGGTTACCACTCATTTCATTCGACGCCAGCATTCTTCAGGTATTTATTTTTGTGGAGCATGGGAAATACGCGAGGCTCTTTATGTTGGTCGGGTGTGCATTTCTGATCATGCCGAATCATCCTTTCTAGAAACCAAATCACACCAGGAAGCAGAGTGAGCCCCTGTGCTTTTCAGTTGCCCAGTGGGACACATGGGAGGTGTCAGTGGCTTGAAGCCCAGAGAATGATCAGGGGTAGCTCAGCTGAAATGAGAAGCCCACCCAAGTGGCCCTGCACGTACCCAACCGCTCCTACCTGGCCCAGCCCTGTCCCCGGGCCCTGAAGCCCTCCCTGTCGGCCATGACAGTCCCCCTGCCCCTTCTCTCTTTCCCTCCACTGTTCCCCGTGCCTCCCTTTGTTTCATGCCATTCATCCCGTGCACGGAAGAAACCCACTCTTCCCGTAATTCATCTTTTCAGCAAGTATCCATAGTGACTTGCTTTCAGTTTCAGAAGTGGCCAGTGGGCTTGTTTTATGTTTCCTCTCAACGCCCTGAGGCTACAGTCTTGGTGAGCTGCGGCATGGACTTCAGCACTGGGGCTGGGGGAAGGGCGGGGGGCCTCATAAACACCTGACCCACTGAGCGGTTCCCCATTGAGCTCTGCCTTCCTCCTACCTCATTCAGATCCACAGTCTGACTGCTGCTGTCTGGGCCACCTGCCCGAACCTGGGGCCTCTGACCCCAGCTGGGACCAGGACCCCAGGACTAAAGCTGCCTGGAGGGGACCTTTCTGCTTGTGCCGTCCACTTGGCCACTGTGCCCAGGGCCACCCATTACCACCAGGAGCTTCTGATGGAGGGGATGATTTTCAAGTTCAGGCATGCCACCGAAGCCACTGAGCTCTTGTTACAGTTTCAGATCTGAAGAGAGTGGGAAATTCAAGGAGAGATTCAGAAAATCTGATTGCAAGTCTAACTCTGTCGACAGCTAGTCCTGTTTCACCACACTTCTCCCGGTCTTGGTTTCCCCATTTGCCAAGTGAGGAAGGAGGTCTAGATGATCTCTAGAGTCCCTTGCCATTTCGCAGACGCTCAGATTCTAAGTATGTATGTTTCCTACTCAGAGTCACCCAATTCCCTGCGTTTGTTTATTTATCCATGCAATGAGCATTTATTAAGTGCCTAGTAGGTGCAAGGCACTGTGGGGAATAGTGATGAATAAGGCATGTGACGAAAAGCAGGTGTCCAATTTATCTCGGATAATCATAATTTGAATTTGGTCTAACAGCACAGAAGCTCTCTTTTTGTCTCTTTTCTCATTTCCTTTCCAAGATTGTGTTAAGAGGCCAACTCCCCCTTCTAATGCTCTCTTCCTATGATACTGGTGACAGAGGCAAAGAAAGAGAACATGATTTACATTAACCTAAGCCCAGAGGAAGGTCTGTCGAGGAAATAATTGCCACTTTCTCACCAACTCCCCCATCCATCGATACGCAGACGAGAGAGAGAGAGACCGAAGACTGGCAGTTGGCATGTGCTTGATCGAGGTGGGTCCCATCAGCTCTGTGTCCCTAGTGCACCAGTCAGGGCCAGGTTTTGCCTTCAGTTCCCACAAGACGAGTTGCACGGCTTCAGTGGTGTCCAAAAGCACAGCTACACCCCCCAGGGCAACAGGCCCCTGGGCCCTCCCCTCTGGTGGACGTTTAAGAGAATGTTCTTCAGGAGCAAAAGAGAAATCACAGACTGAATGAATGAAAGTATCCAAATTTCTATTAATCAGTGTTACATGATGTATGTTGGACAGTAATATATATGTTTTAAAGTAATAATTTTGTATATATTTTAAATAAAGTATTATTGCTCTTTCAGTGTATAAGACTATGTTCTTACCAAAATTAGCACCAAGCCCATGAAAAGTAAGCCGAGAATCTGGTGTCTAACACCTCCTAGGACAAAACAACTTCAGGAAAACTAGAACCTTGACGTTACTAACCAAGCTGGAATGACCACAGGAAATTAATGATAAGATGACAGTGGGGAGACTATTTGAACAATGGGGGTCACAACCAGGTCCCCTACTTTTTTTTTTTAAGATTTTATTTATTTATTTGAGAGAGAGAGAATGAGAGAGAGCACATGAGAGGGGGGAGGGTCAGAGGCAGAAGCAGGCTCCCTG